TAAATAAAGGTGAGTGGGTAACGTAAGTTACGTAACCCCCATGTTAGTAAGTCGCGAAAAAAATCGGTTTTCCGATGCCGACCGCCAAAAATGGATTTCAGATTCGTAATCTACACCCCAAAAAACATATAATTAAAAAAAAAACACCCTTTTTTTTGGATGTAGTTAATCTGCAATAATACCATTTCAACCATCAATGAACGCATGGAACTAAAACAAAGCTTAATATAAAGGAAAAACTAGAGAAGTGACGGAATTACCTACGATGTCGGAATATACCGCGTTTACCCTACCTGAAAAAAATAATATATTCCCTCAATGTTTTAAGAAACTTTTGCCAACATTTCAAGTTGGACACTAGTAATTTTTCCATCTAATCTAGCCAACAAAAACACTGAAAAACTTTTATAGTTTTCCAAAAAAATTTCAGGTGCCTAGGATATCCTAATCAGTAATTTCAGAATAACTAGGCCTAAACCATTATTCTGAACCCGTCAAGATCAAAAATTTTAATTCAAAGCTATTTTACTAAAATACAGACCTCACAATTCTTGCTGAAGCAAATCTAAGCAAGTTGATAATACTAAAATAATTAAAAGCTGGAAATGATATTAAATATAATACCTAGGTAGATAATAATTTGAAACATAAAGTAATGAATTAGCCTATAGTAAATGTAAAATGTTGAGCTATCATTTCATTGTCCATTGTCCATACATAAAGTCACAAATTTAAAAAATTAAAACTGCAACATATCCAAAAATAAAGTCAAATAATAATTATTAAATTTATTATTCCTTAGTGTTGCTCATTTTGATAGGAATCAACACTGGTCCTCAATTAAAAAAATGTCATTGTGACAGAACAGAAAATGCAAAAAAATATAATGCACATTGCACAATTTTAACAACTAACGAATAAAGGAATTCTTACGAGTATATGACCTAACAAAACACAGTTAGTGCCACACAGTAAATAATTTACAAAAAACGTTCATGAATCGTATTTACTGAAACGTTGCCATTACAAACTTGCTCCCTATCTACTCCCAGAACCAAAATAATGGAGATCTGACAACAATGGACGAGTTAGTTCCAGCAATATTCGTTTGTGTCTACTCCTCCTCGTTGAATAAAAGTCTGATCAAACTATATTAAATAATTTTGCGAAGGATTTAAATTTGCCTAAAATTTCAGATTGCAAGATAAACTGAAACAATAATTAACCAGAAAATATTAAAGAATTTGCGTTGATGTTTTAGAAGACCTATATGTATCTAGCCATTGTAGGGAACTGGAAATCATGTAAAAATAAACACGAATCACAAGTGATTAAATTTTCGTTGCAATCATCATTTTTAACTTGCTTTAAGATCCAAGAATTACAGTTACAAATTCATTTAATTGTGTGTGTATCGGATTATAGGAAACGTCTACAATTGTCGATTACGTTACGCTGTTCGCATCAGCTGTTCGGGCGTTTGGGGGCAGTACCGTCTGTACCGAAACTGTGGCATCAAAAGAAGCTATGACAGATATTGCCTTCACTTACCTACTGATTCTGTGAGTTTGTGACAAAGATTTCAGAACTTGGCGCTTCAGGAAGTTTAAGCGTGACTGAGTATACTTTGAATAATATTTTTGGCAAGAGTTTTCAGTTATCACTCTCTCTGCATAGTGGGTGTCAGTATGTCCATTGTCCAATGCCGTAATTTGGTTTTCAGTCTTTAAATATCTCCAGTATTCATCCATTTAGGTATAATTTATTAATTATACAGTCACAGTGGATACTCCATAATTGAAGAAAACCCCAAGTCCCCAACCAAGTGAACCAACAAATAACAATTGCGTCATTTGCGTGCACGCATAGTAGCACGAGAGCACATGATCATAATGCTTGATGGCATTGGGGAACATATTGACATTAAAAAGGGCGATAAAAAGGTTTCAGTTAAGATGGTTCTAGACTTTCAGTTATAGTCTGCCTTCAGCCAGTACTATTGAAAACTATTTATATAAGCCTTGCACTGCAGTTTGGACTTTGAAGTTTTATTGCAAAAATGTGAATTGTTATTCTATTATTATTATTCTATGAATCATTTTTTGTGGTGTCTGGTTCACTTCAAACAAACTTTGAGGGCACATCACGCTGCCGCATAAGCATAAGAATAATAGCAAGCAAAAATAAGAATGGAAAAATAAGAGTCAAGAAACAAGAATGGATGGTATAGCGACAAACCAGAGATTTTTTAGAATCAGTTCATTTTTAATTTTCTCATTTACTCAAGATTTAATCCAATTTCTTAAGTATAATGATGCTGGTATCCATGATACTTGACTAGTCAACTTATAGGACTCAAAAATGAACTTTAGGGAGTCTCTAAAAAACTCTCTGCTTTGCCACTATGATGGATGGGAATGGATAAAATGTCAAATCACTAGATTCATGGGCTCTACAAAATAGTTCTGTCTCTAGGCTCCAACAAAACACCTGCAACAAAGGAGCCAAAGTTATGGAAGCCCCAGGCCTGCAGACTGTTCCAGCTTCTGGCTTTGGTGCAGTCGGCCACACATCTCAAAGACAGTCGGCAACGCATCTCAAAGATAGTCGGCAGTGCATCTCAAAGACAGTCGGTGATGCATCTCAAAGACTTGGCCACGCATCTCAAAGACTTGGCCATGCATCTCAAAGAGTGTCGGACTTGGCGATGCACCTCAAACTCAAAGACAGTTGGTGATGCACCTAAAAAACAGTTGGCAACGCATATCAAAGACAGTTGGCGACATATCTCAGACAGTTGGTGATGTATCTCAAACAGTCGGCGACGCATCTTAAAGACAGTCGGCAACGCATCTCAAAGACAGTCGGCAACTCGTCTCAAAGACTGTCAGCAACTCATCTCAACGACTGTCTACGACTCGTCTCAAAGACTGTCGGTGATGCATCTCAAAGACTGTTGGTGATGCATCGTGAGTAGTGTCAGTGACATTTTTGGTCTACAAATGCAAAAATTGGCAATGCATTCAATAAACTCTTCACCCTGGATAAGAAATTGGTTTAAATCTGGAGTTGATAGGAAATTAAAAATGAACTGATTCTAAAAAAATCTGTGGTTTGTCACTATGCAATTTTGCCTCATCCACAGCCCACTGATAGGTACCTACTGCAATATTTTTCAGTATGGTAAAGACATAGATTTTGATGCTGATGTGATATGTTGTATTTTAATAGATTAAAAAATTATCAAAATTATTTATTTTGGTTTTGTTTTCTCATTAAGAGATAGGAAAATATAAATATTTTGATAAAGAAGTTATTGATATAAACTTTAACTTTATTTTGCCAGAAAATGTTGGTATTGCCCTGACTTGCCTTTGACATCGAGAGTTCTGATACTATTGGTGATGGTCTTGTTCAAAATTTAAACTTTTTTTGCAGCCTTTCCCCATGAATTGAGAAAGTATTTTTGGTAACTGAATACAGGTATACTACAAATCAAATGGTATTTCTAAAATCACTGGAGAAATTCTAGCAATGAGTTCCTCAGCATTAGAAACTGGTGTGGAATGCTATGTTAGTGACAATGGGGAGCAGCCACTCTACTCCAAAATGGATGAAGCTTGCTTGGTTGTCCACAATTCTGATGCCCTGAATAGCATCGAACTTTATGGCCAGAGCAAAGAATGCTACAAGGTAAGGATATAAGTTGTGTGATTAATCTTGTATAAATTATTTAAAAAATAATCTTGATGAAGTATTGTTATTTCTATATTCTTAAATGTTAGCTAATAAGCTTTTGCTTAAAATTGCGCTAAAATTTATATGCAATGAAATTAATGATTATTATAATATATGATTGATATAAAAAATTTTGTTTCGCATTGAATTCTGTTTTTCTATACATTTGAAGTTAAAAGACAATATTTAAATCTGGAGTCTGAATTAATGTCTTTAATGTCTTTAATGTCTGAAATACGGTACTATATTTGTGGAATGTAAAGTTATTTATAGAAAGCTGTACCTCTTGGATTAATGGATACCTATTCAATAACCTGTAAAATGTAAACATTCTATTCATGCAATTTTCCTGAATGAAGAAAAGGCAAGAAAATGAATAATTCTACTTGTGTTGATGCATGTGTTTTGATTGGTTTTCAGTGCACATTTTGGCACTACGCAACATTGCCTCCCAATGGCAGCGCTTCCCTCATAGTCAACACCACATACCCCACCTTACTGAGCACCAAACATCTGCATACTCGACTCTATGGGTGAGTACAAGACATGAAATCAGCTAAGAAATTTATGTGTTGAGTGTAAGGATCCTGCTGGTATAAAAACTAATGTATTTCTCTTGCTAAGCAATATTTTAGTTAAGTAAAGCTACACTTTAGCTGAACTGTTTGATACTTAAGCAAGCAACAGTTTTTTTCATTATAACATTTTTTTGCACATTTTTGCTTATGTTTCATCTTCGTCATTCATGCATTGGAGTAAAATTTTCTCATTTAATTCAACATTTAAAATATTGTATTAGGCAAATAGCAGATTATCTTTCATTCACTGTGTGCTTCACTGTCTCATGACAGCCTTTCAAATTTTACCTAACCTTACATAAATGTGGGATCCTGGTTTGTTCTGAAATTGATGATATACACTTGACACTCAATTTAGAGAGATAAAATATGTTTTTCCTTCATGATTTCAGCCTATGTCCAATATTTCATTTGAAACATTTTCAAGTTGAAAGTTTTTCAAGTTAACTTGAAAGTTTTTCAAGTTAACTTGAAAGTTTTTCAAGTTAAACTTTGAATTAGGCTTAACAGATCTCAAGTTAGAACATTTCTGAACTCCATCAGACCTTTAAGTCTATCAACATTGAGTTTATACATTTGAATAATTATCATATTTTCAATTTAAACCTACATGAAAAGTGCATACGGTTATGTGGTGCATCCACAATGGTATTCCTGCAGAAATTCTTGAATAAACTTGAAAGTCTTAGTCCAGATCATTTTTGCTGTAGACATTTTCTGTGATGATTTCTTTATGATAGCTACCTATTAGGAAAGAAGTCTATTCATGAAAACAATTATTGTTCACATTTTCTGAGAAATATGATAATAAAATAAAGAATTTATGGATGATAAAAGTAAATTTTTCAGATTTGAGGCTCACTTCAAAGAGTCAGCTTCATACCTGCTGACTCTGAACAGCAGTGGCTACTCTATTTCACTCACACACAACAGCGATGGACCTTACCACCGTGAGTATCTATTATAAATATTTCTGTTATTGACACCTTGCATCAAGCTGCATATACTATTATTGGATGTGATCCATTATTAATGGATTGTTACTCTATTGGTTTGTTAAGAAGAACAATGCTGATTGTTTTAGAAGTACTGTTCTGTAGTGACACACACCAAGATGATCCAAAGTACTAAGGTTAGTGTATTTATATTTCATGCTCAAAATGTTAAAAATTTGAAATTTTATAAATATGTACAGTTTTGATCTAAATTATGTCAGTGAGATGCAATTTTACATTATCAGAGCTGTGTTGAACCTGAATACCTTGAGTGCATTTATGAAGAGAGAACATTCTTGTTATTTATTTTTCAAATGTGTAAAATATTGAACTGTCCCACAGCTCTGCTGTATGCGTTGCTGTTCTACTTCATGCTGCTCATGGTGTATCTGTTGGCCTCACTCCTTCAGTCCCGTATGGATAGCAGCTCAGTGAGTCAACTAATTAAATAGATCATTTCAATTAAAAAAGTAATATGTTTTGAAGTATTAATTTGGATACACAGTTCAACAACAATATTATCGTTTAGAATCCAAACCAATACAATGAGGAATTACTTGCTAGACTCTTGTTCCAGAATATGTAAGATGCTCATGAATCATTATTTGACTGAGCAGAGATTATGAAAATGATTTCAGAATATTTATGATATTCATAAATCATGTGACTGATCAAAGATTACAATTATTGATTTACATTCTATATTTTAATGCTGTTCTTGTTTGTGCAGGATGATACGGAGACGGCCCCAATCTTGCGAGCGTCACGGACGAGCGTAAATGACATATCAGAGCCTGGCCCAGGCAATGACCAAAGTAGCAGTAGCTTTAATCCAGCAACTTTTGCTCCTGCTACTTCAACAGAAGCAGAAAATGCACTGGCTGATACAAGCGTGAAGCAAAGATCGGGAAAACTGCTTTCTCTGGATGTCTTCAGAGGGTTCACCATTGCTCTCATGATCTTCGTGAACTACGGTGGTGGGAACTATTATTTCTTCCAGCACGCGCCCTGGAATGGCCTGACAGTTGCTGACCTCGTCTTCCCGTGGTTTGTTTGGATCATGGGAGTGTCGATGATGTTCTCTTTCAAAGCTCAATTCAGACGTGAGGTCACTCGGCAGGCTATAGTGTGGAAAATTATCAAGCGATCTGTCATTTTATTTTCTCTAGGCTTGGTTATTAACGGGATTAGCAACAGTAACTTGACAACGTTCCGTATTCCAGGCGTGCTGCAGAGACTCGGAGGCTGCTATTTATTTGTAGGAATCATGGAGGTGCTCTTATTTGAAGCTCCTGAACTAGCATCAGCAGAGTACTGGGGAGGCTGGTACATGTTTAGGGACTTAGTGCAGCCATGGTTGCAGTGGAGCATCACCATAGGGCTTGCTAGTATCCAGGCAGTAATAACATATGTACTACCAGTACCAGGATGTGGTAGGGGTTACCTTGGGCCTGGAGGTCTACACAACTACGGCATGTACAGTAACTGCACAGGCGGAGCTGCTGGCTACATCGACAGGTTAATATTCACCAGCAACCACATTTACCGCAGTAGCACCGCGCGAAAAATCTACCAGAACTCCGTGTCCCACGACCCTGAAGGCCTCCTTGGATACCTCACGTCCATCCTGCTGCTCGAGATGGGCGTGGCTGCAGGTCGGATCCTTATCACATACGATGACCACAAAAACAGAGTTTTTCGACTACTGACTTGGGCCGTAACTTCGGGCATCGTGGGCGGTGTCCTATGTGAATTCAAGAAAGAAGATGGCATCGTTCCCGTCAACAAGAATCTTTGGTCACTAAGTTACGTCTTGATTACTGCAAGCTTTGCCTTCATTCTTTTCAGTGCGTTTTACACTATCATTGACTGGCATAAAAAATGGGGCGGCAATCCTTTCTGTTTTGCAGGCTACAATTCAATTCTTTTGTATGTTGGACACGAGCTCATGATGGGGATATTTCCGTTTGGTTGGACGCCCGTGGGGCCTTACCACGGCACATACTTGTTGCTTGCTCTCTGGGGCGCTTCTTTGTGGATGTTCATTGCGTATGTTTGTCACAGGAAACAATTTTATGTTTCTATTTAGACGTAACTTTGAACCTGGATGAGAACATTTAAACTTTTATTTTAAACCTGGATGTGAAATTTTTTTCAAACTGGGGACGCTTCTAGCAAATAGATCATATCTGCTGTATCAGTATTGGTCTTGACATGCAAGATTTACTAATTACTGAACATTTATTGTGCGTCTTTCTGTAGATTATGAAGACATTTCTTGAAATGATTATCAAGAAGGAAATATTAATGTAATGCAATGCTTAATTTTTATTATTCATTTTCGAAACCAAATGTTATTTTTATGTTGTTTGATGTGTGTTGTTTATTTAAGATTTAATATTCTTTAGTATATTAACTTGATCTGAATTTATATTGTATGAATTGTATGTTTTTATTAATTTTAATATTTTCTCTTGGCCTGCTCTATTATCTTTAAGAGTGATATTCCGAATTTAAGCTTCACTCTATGCCAATATTAATGTTCTTTTTTCATCGATCATAAATTAATGATTATAAAAAGTAACAGGGGAGTAGTATTATCAGCCAGGAGAGTATCAAATGATCAGCCATATTACATGTTTTTTTTTTTACTGTAACAAACGTTAATTTTTGACAAAGGCAAACATAAAAATCTGATTATGAGAAACTCTTCTACGCTTCTAAATTCTAGTCGTTCGTACAAATACAATTATTACTGAATAGCAATGCATGAATTAAACTTTTACATTGAATGTAATTTGAAATATTGGAAGGATGAGTCGCGTATATAATTATTTAGCAGCATCACGACCATTTACGACGACTGCCTCACAATCTTTCTGTAATATTGCCGTCTTACTAGTCACTTGAACATATCAAGAAACGCGCATGATGGAATGTGCATTGTGTGTAATTTGCGTGTATTGAAAGTTGATCATGTATTGATGGTGATGCTGGAGGAATGGTGTATTATTCATTGTAAGTGAAAACTATATTGTAGGTGCTGTAGGTGGAATTGTGTGTTGTGCATTGCAAGTTTAACATGCATTGATGATGATGCTGGAGGAATAGTGTATTGTACATTGTAACAGACTATGCCTCTTTTCCCGCTATGTTTACACTATGAAATGTTCCCCGATATGGCAGCTTTTAGGTATATTGTTGTCTACCCTGATTTGCAATAAATCCATGTTGTGATATGAATGCATTTAATGATTAAACAGCTTGATTACATTACTGGTATTGATCAATGGCATTCGTACGTTGAAGCCTGGTTTCTTGAGTTACCATTACCGCACTTAAGGTAACAAGTTACTCCGGGAACTAACGTTATTTCTCACGGTTAAGTAATAACACTTTAAAAGATAACCACTCTCCGAGCAAAGCGATAACACTACAGGATATCATTACAATATATCGGTACAAGTTTGACGCCAGGTGGTCTCTTCGTACCGAATTGAGTGCAGTTATGTTAAAAGTATCAATTTCAAACCTGGTTTTCTAAGCTCTACCGTTAATCTGCATATTATAAACATGCGACTCAATCCTCTGAAAATTGGGCTTTGAATGCACGAGACAGACGAGGCTTCCATAGATCTGAACTGTAGGTCTAATATAACTCGTAGTGTAAGTGTGTGCCATTACAGGGACGAACAGGAGCGGGAATAACAACTTCTTTAAGTACACGTAGCGGCCCAAGTACACGTAGCGGCCCAGGTACACGTAGCGGCCCAAATACACGTAGCGGCCAATTTCTCGTCTGGGATTGGTGGGTTTAGCTTGAAAAATAATTTTCTGCCATAGTTCTAAGTATTTTTGATGGTACGTCCTCTGAGGCACTATTTTCTTCGCTGTATCTCGGAATTCTTGAAGCTTGGCATTCCTGTGAATTAATTATGGAGACATTGATATAGTTTAATATTCATATATATGAATATATTTAGTATTAGATGGCAGAATTTAATAGTTTATACACGTGCGATTGATGACCAGAGAATTAGTTGACTTATATTATCAGGGCCGAAGTGGAAGTGGAACTTTTCTTCAGATGACGGTAGATTAAAAGGCAAGTTTCAGGAAGTAGTTTTTCTTTATTAACGACGTTTCGAATGCAACAAACATTCATTTTCAAGTTAAAGAAGCATTATACATTGAAATTTTGGTGGAAATAAGTACATAATATAAGTAACTAGGATACAACAGTAAAATTTTGGACCAAAAATTACTCGGAAAATTCTTTCAGATCTCAGACAAATCCGGTAGTCAGAAAATAGATAGCTGAAATTCAATCTGTAGAGATGAGAGGTTCAGCTATCGCCATAAGTCATAAATATGAAATCTGGAGACTCCAAAAAGTATCTGAATCGACCTCAGAATATTTTAATCGAGCAGCTTCATCTCAAGAACATCGATGAATTGAACTGGCTCCGTGACACTCATGACCGCAACGTCAAACCCCGGACTATACTGAGCAATGGCCATTGCAAAGAAGTGGGAGTTCTGCGAGAGACTGGTGTAATCTGTACATTTTGCCCCAAAGAAGGTTGTAGACTATTTTAATCTACCGTCATCTGAAGAAAAGTTCCACTTCCACTTCGGCCCTGATAATATAAGTCAACTAATTCTCTGGTCATCAATCGCACGTGTATGAATATATTTATGAATAATATGTATATTCAAGATATATATAATTATACAATTCTAAATAGGTGAATGAATCATAGTGCCTTAACACGATGCTGATGCATGTATACGCAATTCTTTCATTTTATATATTCATGATAATGTAAATTTCGACCTACGCTTATTTTTCCCCTTTTTTATTCTCTAACATTCCTTTCTATTGCATTCCAAATTTTACCATTATTTTTATTTGTTTATTTTGGTAAAGGAAATAGCACACATTCTGAGCCGAATATCTTGTGAGTTTGTTAGAGTTTAATTAATTTCTTTATGCGTGCGTTGTTAGCAAACTGGTAAACGTTGTTTCAATAATCTTATTTATATTTAATACCTTGCATTCTATGTGAGAATTTGTGTGTGATATAGACTGGTTTTCAATTTCACTATTAAATCGTTCCTAGTCAAAGTGACTACTTTTTAGTTTTCCATGTCCTATAGAAATATACTTGTTGAAAGGCTTGGATTATTCAGCATTGTTTTCTTGTTTGAATGTCATGAAAAAATCCTCATACATTCATCATTAAAGCCTTGTGTATTATTTGGTCAATCAAATACTCGACCTGTAATCTCGAGCTCGTATATTAGAGCATCATTGACCTGGATAATGAAGATCGTACGTAACACGTATGCAACACATTACATTGTACGTAACACGTATGAAACATGTTACATCGTACGGAACACGTATGCAACACATTACATCGTACGTAACACGTATGTAACACGTTACATCGTACGTAACACGTATGTAACACGTTACATCGTACGTAACACGTATGTAACACGTTACATCGTACGTAACACGTATGTAACACGAATGTAATACGTTACATCGTACGTAACACGAATGTAACACGTTACATCGTACGTAACACGTAAAAATTTCTTTCTTACCACCAAGGCACCAACGAAATATCTGACGCTGAGGTCTGTTATAGACCGGCGAGGGAAAGAACAAAGTTTGCCAGAGAACCTTTGTACGGACAAAACTTTTCTTCTCATCCCAAAACTTTAGGCAACTTAAATTGCCTGTAATTGAGGGCAACTTGATCGCAGCGATTGCTCGATAATTATTCTTTTGCGATTGGATGCAAGTTTGGACGCTCGAACTTTACGAGAGTTTGTGCTCCGGTGTTCATTAGGCTAATTATTCAAGGCGAAAACAGGCTCAAACCCTCTTTTCTTCAGGGTAATTATTACTCGAAAATAATTACTCTAGTTCTCATAGATCCTTGATCTGTTTATAGGGTAATTATGTCACGCAAGAACAGGCTCAAATTCTCTTAAAACCTTGATTACTCAAGAGTTAAGATTTAACGTTGTATAAAATCAAATTTATTTTTGATTGATGGTCAACCCTGTAGCCCTAAATTATTATTATTCATTATATATTATTAAATAATCACGCATGCATCAACTTTGGTTCATTGCATGGAGACTTATAAGTTTTTGTCATTATTGGAGCTGCGAGTCCTATGGTTACTCACATTACAAGGTTTTCAGGTAAGAATAGCATTGGTGTCCGTGGACTGAAAGTGAAGAACTATTAAATTATAGATTTAATAAAAACACGATAGTTACAGGAATGTAATGTTGCTAAGTTCAAGGCGTGCCGAGCAATTAAATACGGCACTAAGCAGTACACTCAGAAAATTAACGAGTCTTATTGTCAAAATGTTGACACACTTTCTTAGCCAAAGCTCAAGCAGTGCGCGGACGTAGCACCGATATACTCTTTTGCCGAGCCAAACTGGGTCAGGATGACCCACACATATGCGAAAGTGAATCAAAACAACGTCTAGCTTATTTCTCTGAGTGTCGAACTGAGCTTAATCACACCTAACATTCTCCCTGCAGACAATTAAGTGGCGCCAAAGTGTCCCATAGCCACACTCACTAAAATGAATGGGTCAAGGTGTCCAAATAGCGACGCACCTTGTGTACGTAGTAGAAAAATTAATGTGTCAAAGTGTCCCAATTAGTGACACACTTTTTGTGCATGGTACGTTTTTTTTGCCAGGGACAAACCAGATCATGCTAACCACGCATGAACGGATAGTGCATCATCATTTGCTCAAAGTCTCGGTAATTTCTGTGAGTGGCGAGCTAGACCTAATCACCACCTCCCCCAGACAATTAAATGGCACCAACTGTGCCAGCTAATCGCGAGCGACGCTACGGCCTCTGACACAATAAGAAGCTCTACGCCGACCACTTAGTGATATTGCCTGCCCATCTCATGGACACACTTAGAAAAATTGATAAGTCAAAGTGTCCGAATAGCGACATACTTTCTTACCCACTGACAGCAGTCGTAGCCCTGATACGCCCTTCTACCGGGCTGAATTTTGTCAGGGTGACACACATAAGGAAAAAAGTGCATGGATATATAATGTATATATTTTTTTGCATATCAGTTTTTTTGCAAACTTTAGTGCATTTCAGTAGCAATATAAAATCAGATGATTGCAGCAGAAATATCTAGTTAGATGATTGCAGCAGGAATATAGAATCAGATGATTGCAGCAGAAATATAGAGTAAGATGATTGCAGCAGGAATATCAAGTCAGATGATTGCAGCAGAAATATAGAGTCAGATGATTGCAGAAGGAATATCAAGTCA